TATCAGCAACAGAGGAAGAAATTGAGAACCTTACTTTTGTTCTTTGAAATTTAAACCCAGTATATGTTTGTTCCATTTCTCTTAACCCAAATGCAAAGTTTATTAGAACATCTAGCCACTGACTTCCAACCCCCTAAATTGTAGCTGTCTTCAAAGAGATATTCTGCAACCTCTGCAGGTAGTAGATTCTGCCCAAGTTCTACAGCTCTGCCCAAGGAAGCTCAACTTGCTATTGATTCTAAATTGCTTTCACATGGGAATGCATAATGGGAATCTAACTTCCAGTCCAGTCACCTTTCTTGGAGCTAAAATTTAGAGCATTTTAGAAGTGGCCTTGGAACCTAGCCATTTATCTCTGTTCAAGTCTTTCTTAAACTTTTGCAGTGTTTTGCTTTAAAATAACTGTACAATTATTTCTCCTTCTCAGAGAAAGTTTCTTTAGAATCTCAGAAGGAACCCCATCCTCTCCAAGGCAGGCAATTCAGCAGAAACCCCACTGTCTACTTTTTAGGGCTTAAACGTCCAACAAATTATAGGGAGAGAAAGAGAAACTGGATACGAAGAACCTGAATACCAAGAATGGATCCAATAATATGCTTCACATTTTATATGCTATTACATTTAATGTTCATAATAGTCGTATAATAAAGGCCCTTTTATCTTTTTATTACAGGTATGGAAATAGGCTTAGTGAGGTTAATTTTTTAGGATCACACAAGTAAATAAAAAACTTGGGCTTCATAGTTAGTATAGTATATGTTAATGGTTAACACTCTGCAGTTAGATTCAAATCCTAACTCTACTGCTTACTGTGCAACCAAGTACGTTCTAAGCCTTGGTTTCCTCCTCAGTGAAATGCAGACAACTAGACTACCTATCTCATAGGGCAGGGGCCATGTGCATGAAATGAGATGTTTGTACACTTGCAAGCTAATGTGTCGTAATTTCTGAATTATGTTTGGTTTTGGATTGTCAGTGGCATTTGCCTTCTTAAAGAGTGAAGAGCTATGATTCTCACCTACTTTTCCATCTCAGAGATGAAGACATGGGAAAAGTCCCCTTATCCTCTGTTTCACCGAAAACCAAAGTAAGAATTCCTAAACTATCAAAAAAAAAAATCACCACTCAATCACAAGTGAATAATTAATGAAGATGTGACATAGTTTTTGACGAGACTCTGATGATATGATGGCTGGATGTCTTTTTTTAAAAGGAATATATTTCTTAATTTGATTCTGAAGAAAAAACACAGATGTGGCATAGCCTAAACATTAATATTGTGTGAGACTGCTTGTAAACCATCAGCGGCTACTATATCGAACCACAAAGCATTTGTATATAACTGGAGGCACTCTAATGGTTCAGGTGAAGACACGTTAATCTGTGGCTGTAGACCAGGGGTGGGCAAACTTTTTGACTCGAGGGCCACAATGGGTTCTTAAACTGGACCGGAGGGCCGGAACAAAAGCATGGATGGAGTGTTTGTGTGAACTAATATAAATTCAAAGTAAACATCATTACATAAAAGGGTACGGTCTTTTTTTTTTTTAGTTTTATTCATTTCAAACGGGCCGGATCCGGCCCGCGGGCCATAGTTTGCCCACGGCTGCTGTAGACACATCCAAAATGTTTTGAGAGTAAGAATTGCTACATCCTAGCCCAAAAAGGTATTAATGGCCCATCTGGCCTGTTCTGCATATGACATTATTAATATATTGTGTCCTAAGATAAATGATTGTTTTTCCCCCAAGGAGCTAATATTTAATCAGTCAGGAAGTTCTCTTTGGCATCAGGAAGACCTTGGATCAAGTTCCATTTCCAAAAGTCACTCAATCTCTGAGTCTCATCTGTTAATAGGATAAAACACCTACCGAATAAGGTGGTTATAAGAATTAAACAAGATCATGCGTATGAAGTGCTTAGCAGAGTGTAGTAAGATCTCAGTATATGGTAGCTATAAATACTATGCCCGCCATAGAAAACTGGAAAGAACAGAAAAGTATAAGAAAGACAAAAAACAGTACTTTCCCCTTCCAAAGGCAACTACTGTTAATTTTAGTCATTTTTTTTCTATATGCAGTTTGTCTTCATACAGATCTAACTCACAAACTATATGCATTCTGTTTTTGTTTTGTCTTTTGGCATATTAATGTAACTTAGATATTTAGTCACACCATTAACAACTAGGAAGTTATTTATGGCTTCTAACAAAATAGTTTTTCCTAATTATGAAGCCCTTGGGCATGACAGACTCCTTCCTACCTCATCTTCCAGCCACCTGGGGATCTGACCGCTTTGTCTTGGGAATCCTCAAGTCTGTCACCATCATCACCTGGGACCACTCAAAGAATCTCCTAAGTGCTCACAGGGTGTTGAGTGGGTAGGCTCCTAATCACCCGTGTTTTACAATGCAAGGAGGTGCAGAAAGCCTTACATTCCACAGCCATCTGCCCAGCTGCCTCTCCAATTTTTCTCCCACACAGTACAACAGAAGCTGCTAACCAAACCCAACCAAAAACAAACCCCCAAACCTGCTCATCTGCCGTAAGCTGAAGCCCAAACTCCCTCTTGGGCACCTTTTCTCATACCTTCTCTACAAAGAAAAAACGAGATGTATTACTGAGATTAAATATTTTTAAGAACTGCCAGGATATTAATATTTAATTTGGTTCTCAGCATCTGAATTGCCCCAACTTTACTGTCCATGCTGACACCCCTCATTCTTTTTGATATCATTGCTTGTTTTTTCAGAAAATATAATTATCTATCTAATTGTAGAGGCCCAAATTGACCTCTAGACGTAGAATTAGTGAAAATCAAACACAAATTAAATTTAAAGTAAAGATGATAATCTATAACAGTTATTTTGACCAACTATCTGGTTTGGAAGGGATTGTGTAACCACTGTTTGTTATTATTATTGTCCCTTTTATTGCTGATTTTCTTCTTTTTTTTTGGTTAATCCCCACACGAGGATATTTTTCCATTGACTTTTAAAGAAAGTGAAAGGAGAGGGAGAGGTAGAGAGAGGGAAACATCGATGTGAGAGAGACACATCAATTGGTTGCCTCCCACACAGGGCCAGAGATTGAGCCTGCAACAAAGGTACGTGCCCTAGACTAGAATTGAACTTGGGACCCTTCTGTCCGCAGGCTGACACTCTAATCACTGAGCCAAACCAGCTAGAGCAATTATTGCTGGTTTTCCATAAACAGTTTTCCAGAAGAGCAATGGCTATGTGACTATGCAGAGAAGACATTAAAATGAACTGAGAAACAACCGATTGGGGTTTCTGAAAGGTCTAAGATTCTGGCTCTATCAGTGATGAGCTGTGTGACCTCAAGGAGCACACATTCTCTGAGTCTGCTTCCCCACCTAAAAAAAATGGAATAATAGTCTATCTCCATTTTGTCAGCCTTATGGAATTTTTATTCAGAACAAATTAAATTATACATGTAAAAGTAATTTGCAGCTTGTAAAGAGCTATACAAATGTAAGGGGGAAAGTATTTTGCTTTTAAGTAAAAAGGCAGGGAAAGAAATGATTTCAAATACACCCTGATTGCCTTTTGAATCTCTACACAGCCAACAACTGCTAAAAACAGGTCATTCTGAATAATTCCAACCTCGATTGTCCAGTTTTCCTCCCCACATGCATCATGCTACTTAAAGGATTGGCTATCTTCATGCTGTGTTAGAGGAAACGGAAGTGTTAGAACAAAACAGACTGACATGCTATCTCAGGGAACTTATACAGCTAAGGAGGGACTGAGGAAAGTTAAGGAATTAGAGACAGGAAGGATTAGGATCATTGAGGTTATAAGAATTTAAAACTAGAAAAAAAAGGTATAAACAGCTTAGAATTTAAAGAAATGTTAAGAGATGGTTTTTCCAAAGAGGAGAGCCATTATCCAAACCCCTAGACAAGAGATTATATTCAGTTGAAGCTATTATATTCAACTCCTCCAGAGCCTGACATTTGATTACATTTAAAATTAATCTTTTGCTTCCCTTTTCCTTCCTCCCCCGTACACCATGTGTTCCTGCCCCAACCTTCTATTTCCCTCTCCTTTGCTTTATTTCCATCTCAATCCCTTTGATGTCTAGGTCCAGGTCTGCAGTGTTTTCCTTAACCCCCCTCCTCGCCTTTCTCTCCCTGGTGTACATCTCCCACCTCAGCATCATGTATGCACACTCCTCTTTGGAAAAATCACCTCTCATTCTTGCAGCAGAGCCTTTGAACATTATTCAAAACGATACTGCTTTTTAAAACGGAAGGATAAGAGCTTTAAAGTCCAAGCTGTTTCCCTAGGAGGAGCGAGGACGTGGCCGGGAGAAGCAATGGTAGTTCTAAACCTGCTCAGACTTGGTCATTGGCGGTGGCACGATGCTTCTCATTCCATCTGGGCAGGGTCCGCTGGCCAGAGGCATTCAGTCACAGCAGCTGG